CAAATTCTCTTTTGGAATGAGGCAGAGAAGCTCATAGGGTTCTGAGCTTTTTGACGGGTGAAGTTATTAAACCTGGCCCCTTTCCCATGGTAATGGAGCCTCCCGATCCCCACTCCACCCCTACAGCCAGGCACTGGCACGCCCATTGCTCCTTAATGTCAAAACAAATACATAAATTTAAATGTCCATATCTTTTCTACACATATGTAATGGCTAACTAGGGATTTATCCTCAGCAGCTTTTCATAATAAGCAAGCAATTAGATAGGTCGGAAATAGAAAAGACACACCACCACATAAAAGCAGGTCACAAGTAAAAATTAGATGATAGGAAACAAAATTGTTGCCATTCCAGCAACTAATGAAAGTATGTTACTGTAAACAAGCCTCTGATGGTGCTGTAACCCTTCTCAGGAATCAGGAAACGCCCTGAGCAATTAAACTCGGGATTCTGACAGAAGGGGGAGGTTGCATTTTACCTCAAAGTCAGAGGGTACTAGGAGCCGGTTTTCATGGGGATGGAAACCATGACACCGGTCCTCACTTGCTCTAAAAGATAAATCTGATCTCTCAGCATTGTTTATGCTCTTCTGCTGTCCTCTGTTGCCAGAAAGTCGTTCTCCAGTTTCCTGTTCGCTTCCAAGGCTGTTGTTTCCGAAACCAATGATTACAAATGAGAGGTGTGTTCTCAGATGAAAAATACAATAGGTCTACTCTGACCCGAGGAGAACCCAGCAGGGAGGCCAATGACAAAACAGTGCTTTGGTACTGAGGGCTTTTTATGTACTGTTGTAACAAGTGTGTTTCTGATACAAATTCTCTGCTGGCCTATAAAACTGTTCATCCAACTTAAACGTAACTGTCTCCCTGAATCTTGTCAACCTGCTGCAGTCACCACTCTCAGGTGTAGGCTCTGTCCCCTCCTCTACACAGGAAAATTAAAAATCTCTCCCCAGCTGAAGAACCTGGGAGGTAGGAATTTATTAACAGTAAAATATGAGAGATGGGGTGATTTATAATAGATCTTGCTACTGATTCGGAACCAGTAACAAGCCAAGGGGAAACGGGGCTGATTTAGTAATTCCCTCACATTTAAGGATGACATCATGAAAACCAACTACAGCAGTCTTCAGAGTCATAGTCAATTACAGCTTGGAGCCAGCACGGTCATTGTTTTGCTAATTTGTAAGTAACAGCACTTACCATTTCATTTTGAAAAACATTTGCCTTTAATATTTGGTAGAGGCCAGGCATGGTGGCTCACACCTGTAATCCCAGCACTTTGGGAGGCCGAGGCGGACAGATCACTTGAGGAGTTTGAGAGCAGACTGGCCAACACGATGAAACTTAATCTCTACTAAAAATATAAAAAATTAGCCAGGCACGGTAGCACATGCCTGTAATCCCAGCTAATCAGGTGGCTGAGGCATGAGAATTGCTTGAACCCAGGAGGTAGAGGTTGAAGTGAGCCGAAATCACACAACTGCACTCCAGCCTGGGTGACACAGCGAGACTCTCTAAAAAAAAAAAAAAAAAAAAAAAAAAAATTGATAGAGACTGCACAAAGGCTGCCTCTGCCCTCCTACTATTAGCCTCAAAACAGATCAGCTGTTATTTTTAGCATAGACTATATCATGGCATATCTACAAAACCAAGTTATCCAATGAAAATAACAAAAACCATTAGGTGAGTTTAAGTTGAAGGAGTAAGCAATCTTGATAAAGTGAATTGAGCCAAGGTAAACTTTATAGACTAATTAGCATGTCAGCAGGTCAAATGGTTTTCTTAAATAGTTTTATTGAGATACAATTCCCATACCATAAAATTCACCCACTTAAATTACAATTCAACAGTTTTTAGTATATTCACAGAGTTGTGCAACCATTAAAATTTTAGAACATTTTTGTCACCTTCTCCACTTCTGTTCTTTTTTTTTTGAGATGGAATCTTGCTTTGTTGCCCAGGCTGGAGTGCAGCAGCACAATCTTGGCTCACTGCAACCTCCACCTCCTGGGTTCAAGTCATATTCCTGCCTCAGACTCCCAAGTAGCTAGGACTACAGGTACTCACCACCATGCCAGCTAATTTTTGCATTTTTAGTAGAGAAGGGGTTTCACCATCTTGGTTAGGCTAGTCTCAAACTCCTGACCTCAGGTGATCCACCTGCCGTGGCCTTCCAAAGTGCTGGGATTACAGGCGTGAGCCACCTTGCCCGGCCTCCACTATTTTAAAAAAACCTGTACCCATTAGCAGTCAACCTCCATTTCCTTCTTTCCCCTCTAGCCCTAAGCAATGACTAATTTACTTTGTCTCTATAAATTTCTGTATTCTGAACATTTCACATACAAGGAATCATATGATATGTGGTCTTTATGTCTGTCTTCTTTCATTTAGCGGATTTTCAAGGTTCATCCACGCTGTAGCACATATCAGTATGCCATCCTTTTTATTGCTCAATAACATTCCATTGTATGGATATACCACATTTTATTTACCCATTCATCAGAAAATGAACATTTGGGTTTTTCCACTTTGGGACTAATGCTGCCACGAACAGTCACAGACAAGTCTTCGTGTAGACATGTGTTTTCATTTCTCTCGGGTATATACCTAAGAGTGGAATTGCTGGGTCATGTGGTTCAAATGATTTTTAAAAACTGTTTGCACAGCTGTGGTAATGTTCTCCACAGTCATATGTCAAGAGAGTGAGCGATATTTAATCCTTATCCACACCCATCTTACCATCCACAGTCTTTCATTCTTTCGTCATACTGACCCTCATTCTGATGACATTCTCTACGCTCACTTTGTATATGCAAACTACTCTGAGGTCTGCCATATGTGAGCAAGGCAGAGCCAGATGGAATCTCCAAAAATCGGTTATCCCAAGATCTTGTGTTCAAACAGTATCGAACTACAACCATCTAATTCTTAAAGGTCTCTCTGTTGTCTACTCTCAAAAACATCTTCAAATCACTGGCCCCAAATCATACAGACACTATACAAATACTGAAGGAGAATAATGTTCAGGTTTTTAAACAAGTTTGAGACTACCCTTTGTAGGCCCTCTTTCTTTTCTTCCTCACTGAACACACTGTCTCCCTGAGGCCAGCTAATGTTATGTATCCTCAGTACTGCCAGGTCCTAAAATGAATCCCATTTTGAATAACATAGTAACCAGGTGCAGAAGGGCTCTGCTGTCACTCCTTGAGGTATTTTTCTTTTGTTTCAGTAGTCTTATTCGAATTTGTTTTCAGAGTCAACAACAGTACTGCACAATTTAACATCAAGAATTTTCTGCTGTTGCTACTTCTGTAACAGCTTGCACTTTCTTTTCCCTCTGAGTTCCTCTGAGAGAAGCATATATAAAATGAGTAATTATCGCTGCTAAAGAATTGCTGGAGTCAGCAATGCTTCATAGGAGCTGCATTTCCTCCTCTCCTCCTTTCCCTCTCACCACAAACTCTCCCCCATCAGTTCAGAATTAAAGACACATTACTGGGATAAAGAAATCTGACCTGAAATATGAGTTGCAGCAACAATGGCAAGCAACCAAGAGTATTAACAATAATTTCCAATGCTGCTGGAAAGGTTAGATGATCTGTCTTTGAAATGAGCCAACTCTGCACACTTTCATGAGATTAAAATCAGCTTGCTTTTCCTTCTTAACATCTCGTGCTTCTCCTCTTCCTACCACCCCAAAAAGATGGGGTGACTGAGGCACATAAACAAGTGGCTCTGGAAATTAACTTGCTTGACCAGAAGGAAGCTCAAAGATAAATTCCATTCTGCATTACTTTTCCTATACTTCACTATGATCGGATTTTTTTGTGGTTTCTTTCTCCCTGGAGAGAGAATACCTGAGTGATAACATTTCTGACACACAGAAGCTTAAAAACAGAAGGAAAGCACTCTGTGTTATCTTGTTGGGAAATCTGTCCTCTTAAATGATGACCATTCACCCACAATCTAGGCCACTTTTGAGCCACAGGAAAGAGGAGGCCATTTCTCTCTGAAGATGATGACCTTGCGCAAATAAGTTTTCTGCACCTGTTTTGTCACCTGTAAAATGAGCATAATTGTAGGATTCATGGAGTTAGCATATGAGTGCTTCGAACAGTGCTGGGCAGAGTAAATGCTGAGTAACTATGAGCGTATATGTTTATCATCACCATCTCCACTAATGTCACCGCCACCTTTGGGAAGCTGCCTAGATAGTGATAAGGAGCTATGCTCAGGGATTTTCAGGCAAGTACAAAGTACTGTCATCTTTATTCCAGTGTGTTCCCATTTCCCCTCATTCATCCTGCAGAAGCAATAAGCTCATATGACAAAGTAAAGAAAGAAGAAAGAGAGGACACAGGAGGAAATGGGAAAGACATTTCACAACAACAGAGAAATGGTACCTTATTTGGCTTCTCACAATCATGTTTAAAAGATGAAATTATTATTATTTTTTGAAACAAGATCCCACTCTATCTCCCAGGCTGGAGTGCAGTGGCAATCATGGCTCACTCCAGCCTCGATCTCCCAGGCTCAAGCAATCCTCTTGCCTCAGCCTCCCAAGTAGCTGGGACTACAGGTGCTCACCACCACACCCTGCTAATTTTCTTTTTAATTTTATTTTTAGTAGAGATAAGGTCTTGCTATGTTTCCCAGGCTGGTCTTGAACTCCTGAGCTCATGTGATCTTCCCACCTGGGCCTCTCAAAGTGCTGGGATTACAGGTGTGCACCACCACCATGCCTGGCCTAAAAGTTGAAATTCTTATGAACGTTTTTTTCCAATATGGAGGGCCAGGAAAGGGGGAGAGCCAACCAATCTCTAGACAGAGAAATCCTAAAGTTGCCCAATCCAGAGAGCAGTTGGCATTTTAAATCTGCTCTCTTATGTTTATACACGAGCTTCTTTGTTGAATCCCAGAAGAGAAAAGGACTTCTGTCCAGAAAATCATCTCTGCAGACTCGGTGGCAGTGGGCTGACAGCTGACACCTGCACCTACCTCTCTCTGCAGTTGGCCAGGCCCCTGGTCCGCGGTGCGGAGATTCAGGACATGCACCTCCTGCGGCAGCCCAGTCGTGCCTCTGCTGGCACAGCCTGACAAAACGGTGAAGCTCTCCATCAAGGCCTGGACAGGATGGGAGGCACTGACAGGTGACAATTCACACAGTGCACCAGGCTCTGGACCTGCCAAGGGAATCACAAACACAAGCCACTCAGAAACAGCAATTAATTCTGCCTCAAACGGGCAAGGGTGATCAAGCCACTGCCAACCCCCCAGGGATGCCTTTCCAGCATCCCTGCTGGAAAACTGCTCCAAGACTAAGTGGCCAAAAAGCTAGCCTATCTTCTAAAATCCCAATCTCTTACATTTCTTTTGGATAATTTGGTGTGTATTTGATTTTTTAAATTCCCTTTTGGACTCACAAGTCATGAATGCATTCCTCTGGGTAGAGGACACTTTCCATTTAACATTTGTGTGCAATTCCTTCTTCCCTCTTGGTAGAAAATCAGAGATAAATAAAATAAGTTGCTTAAAGTCCCAAAAATACTATACATAAATAATATTAAATACCTAAAATTGCACTTAACAAAAGTAAAGATACAGATCCTATCTTTTCAGAGCTTCCCTTTATTAGAGAAAGCAAAACAAACTTAAGAACAATACAGAGCAAGATGTAACATGTAGAGGCAATCAGGGCCAGAGCTGTACAGCAAAATTTGGGCCAGAGGACAGAAAAATCCTCCCAAAAGAAGTAGAATCTGAGCAGAGCCTCAGATAGAAAAAGTAGAACCCTGGTCATATTTGGTTCCTGCTTCTTCATTCTCTCTTCCTCTAATCAATCAAGCCTTAAATCCTAAATCCATTCACTCCTCTCCATCTCTACTTCTTTACCGACCCTAGACAATTACAAACCTTCCTGAACAGAGTCTGAGGACTCAAGCTCTGCATGCCACCTTCCACACAGGCACTGTCCACCTAACCTAGAGGCACTCAATGTTACGGGTGTTCCCAAAGCAAATGCCTGCTGCTGGCATCTCTGTGGGCAGTTCCTGTCCCTTCAGAACAGCTTCCCTACTGAATAAAGCCTAAGCTCCATCACAGAGCACAGGAGGCATTTCTTGATCTAGCCCCTTCCTATGTCTCACCCCTCCCCAGTCCACATCAACTTACTTAAAGGTCTCCAGACACACCAGGATGTTTCCCAACTCCATGTCCTCATTCAAGCCTGCTTCCTTTACCCAAATTCCTCTTCCACTCTCACTCTGCTCCCACAACAAACGCCCCAAACTGAGGAAGGCTCTCTTTCTCTGTCCTCCCGCAATTTATCTGCCTGTCTCCACTACTGTATTTACATGATAGCCACTGGGGTACACATCCATCTGTACTGGTCAAATGTGACCTCTCTGAGGGCTGTGCATGCTCATCTTTGTATCCTCAGCATTCATCTGCAGTGCCTGGCATATATGAGATGCTCAGAAAATGTTTGTTAAATGAATAAATGAATCATTGAGCTTTGAAAAAAATGCCCCTTCTCAGATCAGTGAGTAGGGCACCATTCCAGGGACTTGGATTTGGCTGTAGGGAATATGGGAAATAGGCTGCTATAGCCCTGAAATCACTGCAGCCTCCTTTCACATTGGCTGGATTGATAGACACACACCCAGGGGAAGAAGGAACTAGATGCTTAATCCTCACACACTTCTGTGAACTTGGTGCTATTGTCTCCATTCAATCACCCAAGAAACTGGGCTGAAACATACAATGCCCACTACACCACAACCTCCCAGATGGAACCCAGGTGAAAGGCCTGAATGTACTCCAGTTTGTTCTTCCTGACTTCTAAATAATAAAGGTACTCTCCAGGGTTGCAAACATAGTTCAGAACCAGCCAGTCTGCACCCAGAAGCAGACACCCTGCCTGGTGGGCCAAGTCTATTTCAGGACTCACAGAAATTATCTAGGCTGATAATAGCTATCTGGTCTGAAATGAAGTATGTGCCTTCTCAAATAGTCACTGCCACTCTCTGTACAGCTGGACTGTGGCCAGCTGCTTTCTGAGAAAGCATAAGGTGGTGAAGGAAGATGTTCCGAGAGCAGTAACAGGAGGTACTGACTGTACATTCCCTGGAACCCCTGGTGGGGTGCAGGGAAACCGTATGGGCAGGCACTCCCCCTGCTGCCCTCATCCTGCCCTCCTGGCCTCTCTGGCTTTCCCAGCTGCAGTGGGATGTCTGGTACACTTCACACCCAGAGTTTCAAGAAATTATCCTATTCCTACTCAATTCTGGGGACACTCACTGGCTACAGCTACCCACACTGGGAAACCCTTCTGAACTGGTTGCAGAGCCTCCTGCCACGAATTTACAATTATCACAAATTAAGCACAAATAAAATGCCTTTCAGTTCCATTCTCGTATGTGTGCAAAGCTCTGAACAGGCTGAAAACACATCTGCAAAAAGACCTGCAATCTATTTGATCTGCCCTCCTCCTCATGATGCCACCATCACCCATTGAGATCTCCTTAAATCACCACACTGATCACCTCCACACTAGGGCAGGGACAAAAACTCAATGGAAACAAATCAAATAATAAGGTATTCCCAAAGAGAGAGGGAATCGGTGCTGGGAAGCCTTCAGTGCTGAGTATGCGCGCTTCTGGCCTTAAGAGTCTACAGTCTCTGTTTTGCCAGAGTCCAGAACAGAGCAAACACCCTCTTTAAGGGCTGGAGCTCTAGCCATGGGTTATATGAGTCAGTCCAAGGTCAAAGAAAAGAGAAAGCAACGCATGGGGCACACCCTGATCAAATGCCAGGACAGCAACTCTCTACAGAGACCCACAGGAGGCCAGGCGCAATGGCTCACGCCTGTAACACCAACAATTAGGCAGGCCAAGGCAGGCGTATCGCTTGAGCCCAGGAGTTCAAAACCAAACTGGGCAATATGATGAAACCCCGTCTCTACAAAAAAAAATATATATATATATATACACACACACACACACACACACGCGTATATATACAAATATGCAGATATAGATATAGACACAGACATTAGCAGTTGTGGTGGTGCACACATGTAGCCCCAGCTACTCAGGATGCTAAGGTGGGAGAATCACCTAAGCCCAGGGAAGTCCAGGCTGCAGTGAGCCAAGCCGTGATCACACTACTGTACTCCAGCCTGGGTGACAGAGGGAGACCCTGTCTCAGAAAATAAAAATAAAAACGCAGAGCCCTACTTGGCTCGATGTTTAAATACACTCAATAGTGTGTTCCTGACCATCTGACACAATAGCGTAGTAGTTGGTTTTCGAAGTTCCTCATAGAATTTTTTTCCCTCCAAGATTGAAAAAGAAAAAAAGCTACAACATATGCTCAAACTATCCTTACACCAAAAAAAGACAAAAAGAAAAAAAAAAATCAGGAATTATCTACCACAATCCCAAGGGGCATATAAGAAATGGTATCTTTAACAGTTCAGCATACAACGTAATAAGAGATACTGCTCAGCCCTGTGCAGTGGCTCATGTCGGTAACCCCAGCACTTTGGGAGGCCAAAGCGGGTGGATCACCGAAGGTCAGAAGTTCAAGACCAGCCTAGCCAACATGGTAAACCCTGTGTCTACTAAAAATACAAAAATTAGCTGGGCTTGGTGGGGTGTGCCTATAATCCTAGCTACTCAGGAGGCTGAGGCAGGAGAATCGCTTGAACCCGGGAGGTGGAGGTTGCAGTGAGCCAAGATTGCGCCATTGCACTCCAGCCTGGGTGACAAGAGCTAAACTCTATATCAAAAAAATATAGAGAGAGAGAGAGAAAGAGAGAGACTCTTCCCATTTATTAAGTACCCACTATGCAATGCTAGGTGCTGCACATCCTTCTGACACATCGCAAGGAAGCAGCACTAACACCATTTTAAAGAAAGCAAAGTAAGCTCAATGTGCTTAAGTAACTGTTTCAAGGTTTCCCCAGTCACCCAAAGCCTCAGACTTGGCCCTCCTTGGCTCTCTCTCTCAGAAGGCAGGGTCCTAAAGTGCCCGGCCTTGCAGTAATCAGGGCAAGAGAGATGATGGTGTCTGTGGAGATGGAGAGAAGGGGACAGAGTTGAGTGGCCAGAAGAGAATCCACTAGGTGAGGAGAGGGAAGGGGTGACCACCCATTGTACAGTGAACATCCAGCCCAAGGCCTGGGCTACTGTGCCAACACTTTCTGTGAAAATAAAAAAGTGGTCATAGATTTAGGGGTGAGATCTACTGTTTTGTAACTTACTTTGAAATACCTCCCAAAAAATAAGATGGAGAGATATTTGATAAAGCTTCTATTGCAAAATGCTAATTGTGGAATCTAAATGTTCCCTGTACAATGGTTTCAACATCTACACATGTTGAAATTTTTCATTAAAGAAAAGTTGGGAGAGAGGGGCAATGCTTATAAAAAAAAATTAAGCCCAGAAATGCCTTAAGAAAGGTTCCTCAAAAAGTATGCCAGCATCATACTGCTGCTGAGAGAGCAAATTGGTATAATATTTCAGTGGTATCCAAGGCCCGACAAAAGGTACATATCCTTTGACCCAGCAACTTCCCGCTAGGATTTTATCCTGAAAAACATAACTGGATAAGTTTGCAAAGGATACAGAATGTACAAGTGAAAAAAATTAAGACTTAAGGGAGGGGACAAAAAGTCCCTGTGAAAATGTCCAGGCTAGAGGATATAGGTTAAACTCTAAGTATGGTGTAGAATAGTCGTCTCCTAAGAGAACAGACGCAGTGTAGGAGTCAGGAGAGAGGGTTTCCTTTGGGGAAAAAGAAAGCCTCTCTGGCCAAGAAAGGAAAGGAAAGACGCAGTGTGATTGTATGAAGTTTTCCTTTGAATATCTTGGAGAGATGCTCTTCTGCTGCCAGCTGTTCCATCCCCACCTTCCAGGTAAAATGCCTGCCAGGCCTTCCTGGAGTGCACTATCCTTTTTCCATAGATTTTCTCAAACACATCCATGGGTTCAACTCCCATCTCTTTACAGAAACAACTCCAGGCCATCTCAGACTTACTTATTTTTTCCTTTTTTTTTTTTTTTTTTGAGACAGTCTCGCTTTGTTGTCCAGGCGGGAGTGCAGTGCCACGATCTCAGCTCACTGCAACCACCACTCCCCAGGTTCAAGTGATTCTCATGCCTCAACCTCCCACGTAGCT